GAGTAGTATGTTTAGTATTTTAAAAACGTTTTGAAAATTTTTAGCTATAGTTGTGGTTCTCCATAGGAAAACCGGTATTCTCTATAACCTGGCTCTGATACCATTTCTGTCATACCCCGCTAAAGAGGAAACACGGGACGCGACAGTACAACGGGTCTCATAGAAAAAGTTTGAAAAAAACTTTTAAAAGTAATTACAACGTATTAAAATAGAACAACACATGCATACGCACACCGAAAAATTTTGTTTTTCAGAAGTTTAAGTTGAAAATCGTTATGAACATAATTCTATTATAACTGTTTCTAGCCTCGCATTAACTTTCTTTAATGAAGCATAGTTGGCCAGGCTATACTTAATTAAAGTCCAATAATGCATACTCGAATTAGTTATACGAGTAGTATGTTTAGTATTTTAAAAACGTTTTGAAATTTTTTAGCTATAGTTGTGGTTCTCCATAGGAAAATCGGTATTCTCTATAACCTGGCTCTGATACCATTTCTGTCATACCCCGCTAAAGAGGAAACACGGGACGCGACAGTACAACGGGTCTCATAGAAAAAGTTTGAAAAAACTTTTAAAAGTAATTACAACGTATTAAAATAGAACAACACATGCAAATGCTCCTACAAGTGTTGTGTCTCTACGTGCCTCATAGTAGGTGATTCCTGCAAAAGCATGTAAAATGAGCATCAACTATAAAAATAGTTGGTGAGTTCACAGATTAAAAGTAATATTGGTTTCATAAATTGAAATCAAAGTTTCAATAAAAGTTTCCATGAATAAAAATATATTGCTAAAATGAGTATACAAGTTCGCATAAACAAAGTTTGTTGTCATCATGAGAAATAAAGTACGTTGCCTAAATGAGATGCAACGTTCATATCCTCATGGGAAATAAAGTTCGTTGCTAAACCGAGTAAACAAGTTTCATTGCCATAATGAGCAAATAAGTTTGTTGCTACAAGGAGCAAACAAGTTAATTGTTAAGACAAGTAAATAAGTTTCCAGTAATAAAAGTTCGTTGCTATAATAAGTAAGCTAGTTTGTATGTATATGAGCAAACAATGAGTTCACAACCAAGCCTATGACTGACGCCCTACCAAGATAAATGCTTATCATTCGATAGATTAATATGGTATCATGCACTCAAGCAATCGGGGGAGAGAGGAGTTGTCAATTCCTAATAGAGCTATCCATAATGACCATTGGCTCAAAGAGTTAATGGTTGGAGTAAAGTGGAAGGGACTTAAGATGAGAAGGTCTCATGTTTCAAGTTGCATAAACATACATACCAAAATGTAGCAATCAAGTTTGATACAAATCAATTTAAATACAACGAACAATAAATAGTTTTCCGGACATGTTTTTCCACCCCTAAACATAAAAACCGAAAATAGGGGAGTCGTGAATACTCACAATGCTTTGAGATGATGTAAATGATGCCTTGAACTAACTTCCCTCTCGTCCTACTACCGATTCCCTACGATAAGGTTACACACTAGTAAGTCTCTAGTCGAAAATCTAACACTAGTATACTTAATTTCTACAATAGAATTATGCCAATATTGTGTCAAAATTAGGTTTTGTATAAGTTGCAAATACTTTTCAGAAAATTCATATTTCTATATACCAATTGACTTATTATGATTTTCAAGTGACAAATCCTATTTTGTGTTATTGTTTGAAATTCATTTTAGCACTTTTGGAAGGGCTTTACAAACTAATAATCCAAAACTAAATCAAATCAGTTCTAAAAATTTCCAAACTTTACATTTCAGCTCTAACTATAATTTAGAACCCTCTTGTAAATTTTCATGATTTTTAAATATGTTTAACCATTTTTCCACCATTTAATTCCTTGAAAACATCATAAAATCGCGAAAAATAACAAAAATTAAATAAAAATTCTCAATATTTTTGTAAAACTGTGGCACAATGTATATAAACCGGGAAAATACTCAAATTGATTTTCAAACAGTTTAACCCGATTTTATGATTTTTCTGTATTTATTATAGCAAAAATCAACATAAATAGGAATCAGTTTATAAAACTCTCCAAACATTTTTTGCCACTGATATTTAACATATATAAGATGAGAAAAATATCAAAGTTGGTTTTCAAACAGTTGAACTATTTTTCTTTGTTTTATTCATTTAAATAAGCATTAATTCGTGAAAAATTATTAAACAGTAGGTAAAATTCACTGAACTTTTTATTTATAGTTTATATGATATATACAATATTTTGACGAAGTTTCATAATTTTTGGATAAGTGTAGCTATTTTTCATCACTTTAATCCCTTAAACATTCATTAAATCGGGAAAAAAAATTGTCTGGAAAAATCTGGAAAATTTTTCATGGAGTCTTTATGACATCTATCAGACGTGAAAATTATGAAATATGGGTTTGGACATTCATAACTATATTTTTCTATTTATTTGTCTTAAAAAAATAAATTAGAAATCAGCAGAAAAAAGCCTTAGAAATGCATACAACTTCATGAAAAGACTTTGCTCCGTGCATAGGTGATATTCTATATTTACCAAGATTTTCTAACCATCAAAAATATTTGATATAAATTTATTCTCTATTTTATTTCAAAAATTACTATAAATCGAGAAAAACAATGTATTTTCTGAAAATTTCCAGATCATCTTATTGTGTTGTTTGGATTCTGGAAAAAATCGATTTTGAGCAGAAAATAAGTTTTAGATATTTATTTATGAATAAATCATTTATAAGCATTATTAACAATGTACTTTGATAATCAAGCCTTTAAGCTTGATGTTCATCACATGCATTATGATTTGAAGACCATGAATGAACTTATTTTGTTCAAAATGATGTTTCTAAATGAAAAAACTTAAATGCATGTGGTTTTGAATCTTTAAAACTTGTAAAACTTAAGTTGATGGATTTGATTTAGGTTTTGATAATTGGATTTCACCTTCTAACAACATACATGTTGTTTTTATGTGAAATCCTACCACCGTCATCATCAAATTCGACATGCATGAACATGCATGTGAATAATCTCAAAGAAAACACTACTAGGAAACAGCCCTTTAATGACGCGCAAACAATGACACTTGCTGATAGAGGACGCGCATTTGTGCGTGCCCTAAAAAATAATGTCAGTTTTGCAAAATTTGAAGGATAGAGGACACACATTTGTGCGTGCCCTAAAAATAGTGTCCAACAAAAAAAACTTAAAAACACAGAGGGCCCCTATCATGAAAAAGCGTGTTGTCTAAAACTGTCGCTTTATATTTTTCTTTATGAACGCGTGTTTTCCATTTTTTTAATTGCCAAGGAGGGAATGAAATCCAAAAAATAAAAAACCCAGCCTTGATACTCTCCCCCTTCTTCTTCTTCGTATGTTGTAAAATCCTCTTCAATCAAAAGAAACCCTAAAAGCATTGTGTGTAAAAGATCGATAATTTCATACTAGAAGTTCCTAAAATCTTCATCGATCAAAAGAAACCCTAAAACCCCACCTGATACCCACCTCAACTACCTCCAACCCACACCGACTCTTCAGGCCTCGCATGACGACGATGTACCGGCCTTATCGACCAACACTTCATTCACCATCACCATTTGCAGCTCTCGCACCCCATCCTCAAGGAAACCCGACTCGCTAAACCTTACGAAAACGAAAACGAAAATGACCTATGATTAGGATTACTCGATCGGTGTTGTGGTCAAGAAATCGACTCGCTATTGCCGCCACCTCTCGCTCCCTCGCCATTTTTGTCATTGTTAAATCTCTCGCGATTTACAGGATTACTATTTAGGGTTTATCTTACACATGTATATTCGTTTTCTCCCTAAGTAGGTTAATTCGAATAATTTGAAAGTCAATCGACTCATTAAATTAGGTATTTTTGTGCCGAATATATTCATTGATCAACCATTTCTCCCCGATCTACTTTATTTTTCAGTTCCTGAGGTATGATCTATCCGCGGTTTTCTTTGAGTCTTATTTTGGTGTTGGTGTCGTTTAATCCTTTTTGAAGGCCGGATAATGCTTCAGATTGTAGATGCTATTTCATGATCGAAGATTTATTAAATTATTTGTCTTCAGATCGTTTGATTTTTTTTTTCATACAATTATCACATCATCTTGTTATCTGATTTTGAGTTATTTTTTATTCTGGCCTAGTCAACCTCATCCTGGGAAGCTCGATACCCAAATCAGTAAATACTATAAATGCAAATCACTTTAGTAGTGGGAAGGAAAGAACAATCATTTGGACTAATAGTAAATGTCTTTTATAATGGACTTTAATGGATTTATCTTACCTTGTTCGTTGCTCTGTGTTTGAAGTAAGTTTCTTAGCAAGCATTAAGCTTAATGGCTCGTTGCTACAACCATTACAGGGAGCACAACCATTCTTTGTGTTAGCTGGTCCCAATGTGATTGAATCTGAAGAACATATTATATAATCTAACATTTGACAAAATGTTGGCACTGTTGGTAAGAGCACATCACGCTACATGGCAATTTTAAGGGCATTTAAGGTATTATACTACTTATGTACTTGCAGTATGGGTTGAAACCTGTAACTTTACTTGAAAGAGTTTTCTTACAAACACACAAAAGAGCTTTGTTACACGCATACACCTCTCATTTCAAGTTGAAACAAATCTATATATCCCTCTATCTCTCTCTCTCTCTCTCTCATCCACATACAAAACTGAAAGAAGCATAACCACTGGTGTCGGTGGTTGTGGTAATTGGGACAGAAGCAATGAAGTAAACTGTTAACATGTAGCAATCAAGATCCATCTGATGTGTACGAGGTATCACAAGCTCCATCTGATGTGTGGGTGGTTATTATTCTATATAAAGATGGGTAATCACTAATTCACTACTATCTTGTTTGGTGTTGATTAGAAATTGATTTTGATTATATGGTTGTTAATGGGAACTTGTGATTGAATAGGTACCCAGAGTGTGGAGTTCTAATGCAGTGTGTGGAAGAACTGGAAACAATGCATTCAACTACCAAATTTGTCAAGATTATATCAACTGATTGCATTCCTAATTATCCAGATTGTAATATTCCCACTGTGTTGGTGTACAATAATGGTGCAGTGAACGCAAATTATGTTGGTTTGCATACTTTTGGTAGCAGGTGCACTCCAGAAGGTGTTGCTATGATTTTATGCCAATCAGATCCTGTTCTTAATGATGGACTCAATGGTGAAGCTTCTAGAGAAGCTGTTCTTGAAGGAGTGAGGAAAAGGTTTATAGAGATGCACTCCAGAAGGTGTTGTTTTCTTAATGTTTTATGTTAAAGTATATATGTTTTATGTTAAAGTATAATAGGTTTTGTTTAGTAACATGATCTGATATTTTATCCCCTTTTAGATCTGTTTGTTTGTTTGGCTTTCTTTTGCTTTGTCTATGTTGTTATGCAACTGCTCTTTCAATTTTTGTTGTCAACCTTGCTAAGGAATATTGATTTTTGGGCCCCCTGGGAAAACACTTGTTGCCAATGCACTTGTAAATGAAGCAGGAGCTAACTTCATTTGGTGCCACTCCTCCTACACATGATGATGCAGTTGCACCGATGGTCGTCCCACCTTCGATTAAGGGATTCTCGACTCGAAGGGCGGTCGAGGAAATCACGCTCCCTGAATTTTCTGGTGTTGATCCCCAAGGTTGGATTGAGCAAGCAACCATGTACTTCCAAAGTAATGGTACACCTCCTCTCCTTCGAATCTGTTTACTTCAATCGAGTATTTTGAATGAATCGATTACATGGGAGAAATATCAGACAAAATTACTCCAACATTTTAGTAGTTTAGAGATCGAAAACACTGGCGAAAAGTCGGCAACCATGAACCAAACCGATTTAATTGCAGATTCTATCGAGGAATTCCTCAACGACGTTGAGGAGGGGTTATTTCCGTCGGTTGGTACTCTATCCCATCGTTTCCGTAATCTGCCAAACATTGGACTAAGTCCAGTGCATTATTCATTTGTAACACCGGGTTCATGGTATGATTTTATTTAAGTTTTTATCTTTATTTTGCCACGAACTCGGCGAGTCTGCGTCCCGACTCGCCGAGTAGCAGCAGGGTGGACACGGGATTTGAGCGGTGAACTCGGCGAGTCGATGCATGGACTCGGCGAGTCCACCTGTCTGGATGAAACTCTATTTTCAGACATTGCACCCTATTTTACCCATTCTAAAACACCCATTTCGTCCCATTCTCTTCCAGAAAAACTGTAGAGCGAAACCCTAGCCCATTTTGATCCTTGTGAGTGATTTTGGCTTGGTGAAGGAAGTTTGAAGCTTAGAAGAAGAAGGAGGAAGTTGGAGGGTGCAAGGAAGTGTGGTAGATCCGAAATCTACCCTGGGAGAAGCTCCTAACCAGGTAAGAAAGCTCCTTCTTGATCTTTAGTAAAATAGATTCCCTTTTTGTCCCTTATATGTGGATTGCAAGCCCTTAAACCTCCCAAACTCCGTGTGTTTATGCCCTAGGAGCTTAGATTTATGGTTTGGAACCATTGCATGTCTCAGATTTGGCCAGAATGGGTGAAGAGTCGAAGGGTACTCGGCGAGTGCCAAAGTGCACTCGGCGAGTTCCATGAAGATGGCCTTAGACTCGGCGAGCTGGATAAACAACTCGGCGAGTCCTATGAAGATTGTCTGGTACTCGGCGAGTCGTTCTTCAAACTCGGCGAGTCCCTTGAACTCGACGAGTTGTTCTTCCAACTCGGCGAGTCATATGAACAGTCACTAGGATAAAAAGGGTTTAAGTGTAGGAGGTCCAACCCTCCGTAGTCGCACGTGGAATTAACAATTTAACGTGTAGCTATAGTCCCAGAATCTCCAAACCTCCAAGGTTGATGTTCGGATGGAAGATTGGAGCGATTTGTGAGATCTGTTCGTCGGACTCGGCGAACTCCCCTTGGACTCAGCGAGTCTAGTCGCGGGTTTGTTAGTTGTCCCCGTCTAGCGAGTCAGGCTGACTCAGTGAGTGGGAACAGGGACCCGATGAGTCAGAGTCAGGCTAGACACAGAAGGACTCGGCGAGTCGCCATATGGACTCGGCGAGTCCAGTCAATCAGAAGGTTGACTTTGACCAAGGAGTTGACTTTGACCAGTCATTTGACCTTAGGGGTATTTATGAGTACCTAATCCATGTTTACGGATTTATAGCCGGGGGGGGGGGGATTACCAGTGCGGCAGCCAAGCGTAGTCTGAGCAGGTTTTCGGCAGCTACTCTCGAGGTGAGTTTCTTTCCAGTAGGGACGGGTCTAAGGCACCAAGGCCGGCCCGTATAGACGATATGTTAGTATCAGAGTGTGGGCGGAGCCCGTATCTCATTGCTGAGTTTGATTGTGTTATATGCCAGTATGATAGAATTGCTTATACTTGTTGTCTGTGTGATACTTGTATGATATGGTTTAGTAGCGGAGCGTGGGCGAGGCCCGTATCTCCATGGATAGTAGAGTGTGGGCGAGGCCCGTATCTCTATGGGTGTGGGCGAGGCCCGTATCCCTTAGTTACTCATTATATGATTGCATGGTATGTGGCATTATGAGGGAACCTACTAAGCTTCGTGCTTACGTTTTATAATTTTGTTTTCAGGTATCTTTTCAGCTAGGGGAAAGGAGCTGGCGCGGTAGCGGCATATCACACACACTCTTGTTTCCGCACTATGGATTTTCTGGGATGTACTCTGAATATTTTACTATGATGTTACCGGTTTTCAGACATAAATTAATAATATGAATGTTTTGTAACGATGTTTTTATGTATTAACCTAATTTAAAAATGAAATTTTTAGCTGGTATTTTTGGGATGTTACAAGTTGGTATCAGAGCCCTGGTTTGAGGGATTCGGACACACCTTCGGGGGTGTCTGGACTCAAATCGAGGGATTAAAAGATTTTTTATAAAGAAATGATTTTCTAAAGACTAAGTAAAAGGGGTTTCTAAAAAGAACGAAGTGTGTGATGTGCGCGACCGGCCGAGCTCAAGTAAGTTTTCCCTAAAGTACCTGTATACGTTTATGTTATGATTATCAGTTTTAGCTTCAGTAGAACAGCATGCTAGAATAGGACTAAGGATCTAGGAATGATGCCTTATGTGCCTGCTTTACGTGTTTCAGCTTATTGAAAACTGCATGCTAGTATTGAGTAGACAACAGTAGGATAGCCTGTTTAGGTTATGCCTGATAGTAGGAGCTTATCATTGTATGCTAGTACAATTTCTCGTTATGAGGATAGGTTTGCTTGAGTAGTTTCCTGTGTCCGAATGCTGCTTGCTTCGTGATTAGTAGGGCTCGGAGTGATGGGAGTTAGCCATTATGTGAATACGTCACGTCACATGTGACCAGAGTTGAATAATCTAAGAGTGCTGGATTTGGACCTATTGCGCAGCTCTCGTTTGAGTCTAACCGTTATAGGGACGAGTCTCTTACTCGAAGGATTATCTGAGCCTCGTCACATGTGATGGTATTCAGGTGATGGCTAATTGGCATTACAAGGAGGCCTTCAGCAGCTGATGACTGGTTTGGGTAGAGTCAGAGATTTCCCTAGGGCAAGCCTATAATGAGAGGAGTAGAGATCAGTAGCAGTAGAAGAGACTTGGTTGAGTTAAGGTAACTCTTGAGGAAAGTACGGATAGATGTGGAAGGTAGTATGGGCCCGTACTACTGAAAGCAGAGGATCCGTACCCGACTCAAGAGGGGCCAAGACGAAACCAAGGAAATTGTGGAGTATATGTGAGAACCCTCAACAGCGATGAGTATTCTGACAGTTATTGTGATATGTTTTCAGCATGGTGACGTTGCGCGAGATATCAGTTGGCAGTTCAGGTGCTGGGGAGGGATCTGGCTCTGACTCTGGAGCCGGGCAGCTTGATGGTCGGATGAGAGAGTTTATTTCAACAGAAATTATGCGCAACATCATTGATCAGACTCCTGTGATCTTCGGTTCGATCAAGGAGGCCGTCGTGGAGCTTTTGGACAGTCGTCTTGAGGCCTTTAGGGCCGGATTAGTTTCAGGGCAGTTTGGGGCTCGTCAAGAGCCCGATTCTTGTGGATCCCAAGGATCCATCAGGGAGGGGGATCCCATTCTTAGCTCTTTCCATCAGGGGTCGGGAGTGAGTGGGGCACCCTGTCCCCAGGAGAGTCAATTACAGGATTGGATTGCTGCAGAGGTTTCGCGGGCCCTCCGTTAAGAGCTACCAGACACCATTGGGCGTGTCACTGATAGAGTGGTCGTCGGGATGGAAAGGCGGGCCTCAGCTATCCAGGCGATAGGTGAAAGGGTCACTGTGACACGGGAACAGGAGATTGGTTCAAATAGTTAGCTGAGGAAGAGAAGGCGGTCTCCCGGCCTAGTTCAGCAAGATGGGCAGATAGACACTGCCGTAGCTGGTGTCAGGGACCCACAGGGTCGAGATGGTTGCATGAGGAAGGAGGGAGCACGGGATGACGTGCGCAGCAAGTCTAAGTGCGGCAGATGCGGATGGAGGGGTCATAGACGCCAAGAATGCACAATAGAACTAGAGTTATGCCATCGTTGCCATCAGCCTGGTCATGTCAGGGCAAATTGCCCCGCTCAGCGGATGGGACAGCCTCAGTATCATCGTAGGCCTCGGAAGGAAGGAGGATTCGGGGGTTCTTTAGAGAAGGTTGCGGGTATGAATCTTCCTCTCCCTATTAGCTTATGTTATGATTTTATTGTTATAGTTCTGCATCAGTAAGGATAATAATATTTCGGAATTTTATGGCCTGCTTATGATTGAGTTATATGCCATATGCATACCTTGGATACTAGAAAAATAGTTGAGGACATTCCCTGTAGAGTAGGTTACTTCGGATGCAGTATTAGTAGCAAGTATGAATAGGACTCGGTAGTGTCTCACTATTTTCAGGAAGGTGTTATTTGTATTTAGATCGGTTATATTCTCAGCAGTGGTAAGCTTGAGTTCCCAGTAGGGTAACCAGAGGACGATAGGATAGTAGTTCGAAGATGTTTCCCCTTAAGCGCAGGTTCTCAGGATGCAGTCAATGAAGCAGGAACAATCGGGGATTGAAAGGTGCTCGACTAGTTGACAAGGCTGGTTTAGGTCTGATGATGGGTTAGTTGAAGAGCCAGCAGAGATAAATGTTGATTGTCAGCGGATCGAGCCTTTAAATGATAGGAGGGATGGGGAATCCTTTCCAAGACTGAGGAGCATCACGAGAAGCACCTGAGGGAGGTGCTAGAGACTTTGAGGAGGGAGAGAATTTTTGCAAGGTTCTTCAATTGTGAGTTCTGGTTGCGCGGGGTGC